ACACACACACACACACACACACACACACACACACGGCAACTTCAAAAAATGCAACCCCACTACTGACACAGGCATGTAAATACACACGATAACACATACACATACAAATACACGGTGAATTAAGTAGAGGAAAGTGTGGAGGTGCATTATTCAGCAGTAAGTATAGTTTCCAGATGGCTGCTATGGGGTCTGAATAGAGCTCAGGCCTGTTTTACACTGTCTGGACCACTGAGTGTGACTGACAGCTGCGCTACGCTCTGCCTGCTTAGCACCGAGTGGGTGGGTACTTCTGTGCAGATGAGTGTTTTGTCAGGTGTGTGTGTGTGTTTGTGTGTGTGTGTGTGTGTCTTTCTAAAAAGCTCTCATGCACACGAGCAGTCGTCCCAGGAGCTCTTGATTCTAATGAGAGAAAGACTTAAGAACTGAGGAGCATGAATAAATAACTGAGTATGTTTATGTTGATGTGCGTGCCGAGTTGTAGTAACCTCTCGTTTGTTTTGTAGCGACCCTGTGAAAGATGTCAAGCAAGGTTTGCTTCTGAGCAGACGTGCAGCTTCCCTGTGAGTGTGTGTGTGTGTGTGTGTGTGTGTTTCTCACTGTTAGATTTGGGCAGGTTCTTGTGGAACTCCTCCCTGTCGTCCTCATGGAGAATGTTGTACACGCTGGTATTGATTAGCTCCTCCTGTTTGTACTGAAGGTACTGCGTCACGTTGTCCGACACAAACACGACGCTGCCCTCGCGGTTCACAACAAACAGGAAGCCGTCCAGAGCCTGAGAGGAAAACGGCGGCACGGAGAGAAAGTCACCACCAGACATTTGGTCGATCAAAGCCTTGAATTAATATCATCCATGCAAAGCAGGGAGGACGGTCTGACTCACCTGCAGCAGCAGCGGCCCCAGGTGGTCCTTGTCGATGACCCCCTGACCTGTTGAGGACACGTCTGACTTCTGAACGTCGTCATCGTTGGACGAAGCTTTTCCTGTGGGGGAGGAAAGTGAGGGAAAAAGAAAACAGAGAAAATGCATTACAAAAGAAACAGCACAAACAGCCACTTTCAGCCCTGTTAACTACAAAGTAGGCAAAAAAAGAGCAAAGCAAAAATGCAAGGTGAGAGCATCGATACCTGAAACTGGAAGAGCCAGACACGCACTACTCTAGCTGCACCAGCAGGGGGCAGCGTTTCTCAATCTTCACTTTTTTATTTTATAGGGGGGATTTAAAACTACAGGTGAGGAGGGAGACGGACGGAGGCAGGTTTCTCTGAGGAGCCCGTCAGGAGGAGTAGAGGGCTGGGTGCATGTGGAGCAGGTAGCTGCCGTCCTCATGCTTTATATTCAGTGTCAGACTCCGAGGGACTGTCTGGTAGGCTGGGGCTCAGAGAGAGAGAGAGAGAGAGAGAGAGAGAGA